AATGAGCTGACACCAAGGGCTCAAGTGGAAAGCGGGTGTTGTGAGAATGATGAAGTCAACATATGTACTAATGTGCTGGACACAAATGATGTATGTACAGATTGTGATGAGTTGTATGAGCCCCTAATAAAATGATTATTTTTTTAAAAGGAGTGCAATAGATGAAAAATGGCCAATAAGTGAAAAATGATCAATCTATTTATTAGGCATGAGACATGCAAATTCAAATTATAAAAAACTAGTACACATTTTTATAAACTGTTTGTGGTAAGGTAAATTTGTACAACCACTTCAGAAAACAGTCAGCATTATCTTCTATAATTGAAACTATGTATAAGCTTTTCCCCAATTATACTACTCCTTAGTATTTATCAAAAGAAGTGCAGACATTTGTGTGCCAAAAGATATGTACACAAATGTTCACAGTAGTATAATTCAAAACAGTTATGAAACAACCCCTGGAGCCCTGGTGGCAGTGGGTGAGGCCCTGGGTTGGTTACAACCCTGTCCAATGTGAAAAACCACCCTGTCCAAAGAAAGATGAGTCTGCTCCTGTGAAGATTTAGTCTCAAAAGCCCTGTAGAAGGTAGCTATGAGTCAAAATTGGCTCAAAAGCAGTGGGTTTGGCTTTTGGTGTAACAAGACACCTGTTTACATTTAAAACGCATACTTACGTGGAAAATTATAAAGAAAATGAAGTCAATACAGTAAAGGATGGTGGTCATATTTTGAAGAGAGGGGGAGGAGGGAGCACTATCGTATTGACAATGTTCTTTCTCTTGACCTTGGGCATCGGTTCACTAGATTTACTTTGAAATAATTCATTGATTTGAAAATGTATGCTTTATCCACTTTCCCATACCTATGTTATACGTCACAGGGCAAATATCTAATCTCAATGTCAGTTGTTAGTTGCACAGTACCACTTCCTTTACTCCTGAGTTTCCATTTACTAGATTGAAAATACAGGGCTTTTTCCTATACGATGCTAGGTTAAACACACAAATTTATTGTTAGCAGGTTATAAAACTTGATAAACTAAGTGCAGAGTATTTATCCTCTCAATATAAGGTTCTTAAAACACACACACACACACACTTTACAGAACCATAACTACTATTTGAAAAAAAAATGTTAATAAAAACAATACCTAGGAATTAAATTATTGATCTGTAAAAACAATCTCCTATTGTATTATCAATTATCACATTTTAGAATAATGAATACTTATTAGAGAAACTCCAATCTCACCTCTGTATCAGGTGTGCCATCATCAAGCTGCTCTGTAATTGAAGATGCCCTGCTTCGACTTCTTGTTGGTGTTGAAGAATTGGAGGATGCCTGGATTTTAAAATAATTGCACAAATTAGAAAGACTACATTGACTATTTCATTTGGGTCCTTCTCTCAGTCCAAGTCCAAAGATATAAAAAAGGAAAGAGCAAACATATGAGAAGAAGAAATAGATAACTAAAATATAATCAACCAACCAGGCTATCTACTGAATCCCTGGGCTGCCTCTGCGACAAACTACAACTATGATTTTAGCTAACAATTACTTTGTGAGGGCAGTGTGGTCTTAACTATAAAATAAGGTTGTTACGTTTAATGTTAAGATGAAAACATTAAGGATAATGGCACTGGGTGAGGGATATATGGAATCTATTTTAACCATCTTT